GAGCTGGGTCTCTTTAGCTTGAAGAAGAGGATGCTGAGGGGTGAACTCATTCATGTTCATAAATACGTCAAGGGGGAGTGTCAGGAGGACAGAGACAGGCTCTTTTTAGTGATGTCCAACGACAGGACAGGGGGCAAGGGATACAAGCTGGAACATAAGAAGTTCCACAAAAATATTAGGAAAAACTTCTTCACTGTTAGGGTGTTGGAGCACTGGCACAGGCTGCCCAGGGAGATTGTGGAGTCTCCTTCTCTGGAGACATTCAAAACCTGCCTGGACGTGTTCCTGTGTGACCTACTGCAGGTGATCCTGCTCTGGCAGGGGGGCTGGACTAGATGATCTTTCGATGTCCCTTCCAACTCCTAACATTCTGTGATTCTGTGATTAAATGCTGAGACTTTTTTCCTGCTTTGGAGGAACAGCAGGCAAGGGTTACAAAAATTTTTGGCACAAACAAAACCTTTGATAGGTAAGTGCGGCCAATTCCACTTTATGGTATGTCAAGATCCAGAGTAGATGTAAAAGATCAACTGAAAATGAAAGAAAATTATTGTTCTAGGATACTTTCAGCATCAAATTTTCTTGGGAAAAGCTGCTGATACCACCCACCACAGTGTTTTCCTATTCTTTTTAATGCTAAAAATCCACAACTTCAAATCATTCATATGAAGGTGCATTGAAGTTTACTGATAAAACTTTCAAGTAAATACATACAAAACTTCATGTAAACTAACTCAGAAATAAAAACATTTAAAGGTATCAAACTAGTAGAAGAAATTTAGTCAAAGATTAGCAGAGAGCACATCCTGAAACAAGAATCAACTCTCCTATTCCTTTATAATACACAAATGTCATTCTAATCTAGAAAAACCTGGTCACTTAAGATACTAAGCAAACCATATTTAATATGTATAAAGCTACACAAAAATACACTAATATTTATTTTAACTTTTTTCTTGATTTCTTTTTCTTAAGGTGCTACTTTGCACTGCACCATTAGCAATGAGATGGACATGAAGTCACAGACACATGTAAAAGACAAAGGGCCATCAAAAGACAAGACAAAACAGGGAAAAAGAAATGAAAACACCAATCAATCTTTCCAGAGTTTAGCTGGGCATACCTGCTCTATTAAGGGGCCAAATCGTAAGGATCATGTGTAAAGAACGTGAGAATTAGTCAAGTAAGTATATATGTAAATGATATAACTCCAAAATTTAACGCACGGCTGCAAAGCTGTCAACCTAAACTGATAAGAATAGCTGTCAACCTAAACTGATAAGAATATATTTAATTCATATGCTCATGGCATTATGCTGGATTCAATCCAGCAGCCACTTTATCTCAAATTTTGATAGGATTATTCCACTGAGAGCTTGCATTACCAATTCCTACCTTCTAGCTAGAAGAAGCTGAACTAACTGAGTGCATCAGCACCACAGCTTTTGACAGTTTGGGTTAAAACTTGCTTTACACTCCAGTAGGTTCATTGAAGCTCAGCTCAGTCTAAGGGGAGTGCTTGGCTCCCCTCCTACACTTCGGCAGCCCAGCTGTGAAATTAGTGGCCCAGTAGTACCAGCACTTCTCTCACGTTTTATTTATCTTTCACAGAGGTTCACTGTAATAAGCTTTGATTGCTGTGAAGAAGCAGAAGCCAACAGGAAAGCTACCAGAGATGGCGTTTGACACATGCTAACCCCAAGACCCATTTTACCAGCTTAAAACAAACACCCAGCCTGAAAATCGAATGCCCCTGTCGTCAGTAGATTTGGCAATGATTTCAGTGGGATTAGGATTTCAAAATAAGTAACGGGCTTAGCACAGCTCCCAGCACACCACCAGCCCTTTCTGCCTGACATCAGGGCTAAACCTCACCAACGAACGAAAAACACGTGGAAAGATGTAAAGGAGGCTTAGGAATGATGCCAGCGCACAGCAAGAGAGCAGCAGTGAGAAGCAGCGTCTGGCATACGCACTTGATTTTCTGAGGGAATGGCATGCACAGGATGGTGTGGATGAAGGTGGTGGTGAGGATGATGAAGGTGGTGAGGATGATGAGGTCTCATTTAAATCTTCTGGATTTATCCAGTAGGCACGAGTGTCCCGATTACCTTTCTTACTAGTACAGCTGATGTCGCACTGGAAAACATCTTCGCAGCTGTCACTTTGCAAGCGCTCCTTCTGGAGAAGTTTGTCCACTCTCTGTATAATACACTCCAGACTTTTGTCAACATTCAGCCAAACTTTCTCCTTAAAAGAAAACGTTTCTTTCTCAATTTAAGTAACAAATCCCTTGGAAATATATTTCCCTGTGCGAGTCTAGTCACAATTCCTCTGCAAAGTTTCCTCTGGGCTACTGCATTTACATTCGTGCAAATACAAACTCTGGATATATAAATGACATATACCAGCACATCAACAATATACAGCAACATGACTTGTGTGGCAAACTGCAAAGCTACTCCCTAAGTAAATTTGCTAAACCATTTTAAGTGCCTCTTCCTGCACCATCATTCCAATTTCCAGTTGTTTATTCTTGAAACTCATGTTTGACATAATAATTGTATACAATCAAACATCTTTTTCCCTATACAACTCAGTGAATAATAGATAAAATTACTCTATTGTATTACTAGATACGTTACTGGATTGGCTTTATTCATATCCCATTACTGTGAGTTTGACTGTAAGCCCAAGTATGCCAAAACAATTAAAATTAGCAAGGATCCACTTCCAAAATGAATTGGATCTTATTTCTAAATTAATATTTCACAATATTAATACTGGTTTTAATTAATCTTGATTATTTTTGAGATTTAATTCACTTCTGTTTACATTACACAACAACAGAATACACACAGCCCAATTCTCATTTCAGTTGGCACTGTGGTAAGGAAAACCATTTAAATTCTTCATGCAAACAGTTTTAAAATGCTGATCATAATCAAAACAGATGGACTGCAAGTTCTAAATATTTAGATAAAAGCCAGGAAGGTTGAATTGCATAGCTAACAGATGTAAATTATGCTTTACCTTGGAGAAGTGTAAGAGCCCTTTGTAGCACGGTCGGGTTTTTTACTTCAGAAGCTCTTACTGTAACAATCTCCATTGTTCAGGAGATCCAGAAATATTTATGAAGGTCTGTTTGTATGCCTATGCCAAGGAGTAACTGAGCCTAAGCTAGAGGGAGTGTCTTTGCTAGGTGACCAATGTACCAAAAATAGTCATCCTATGAATATCTGGTGAGCAGTTACAGAGCTTATAAAAAAAGAACACAGCAAAGAAAACCTAAAAAGAAGAAAATATTCACCACTCCACCAAGTGAACGTACCCATTCCTCTTCATGCCAGTCCACCTGCAGAGAAGATCGACTATTTCTTCCTGTCCATCTGGCCACAAGCGTATCCTGATCATTCCTCAGCATCACTTGCTCCCCTTCTCCAGAGGTTGGAGATGCTTTTGAAGCGATGTAGTCTGGCCTTGCAGCATTCAGCCCGTGTATTGAATTTGCCAACAGCTTGCAGTCACAGACTGTGACAAGTTGCCGGGTCTACAAAGCAATAAACACCTCACATTTTAACAACTTCTCATTATTCTATACACAATTTATGCTATATTCTTGCGCAGAAAGAAAAAAGAATTATCGCCCTGTAAAAGAAACCAGCCATTGTCTAGGAGTCTCTAAGGTACCCTTAAAATGATTTTACAGAATAGACTTAAAAAGCAATAAAGCATTCCAAAATACAAACAGCACATTTTCAGTCAGTATTACTGCATTAGCCACGCAATTGTTGAAAATTTCCCTAATAAATGTGCAATTCACCTTTACTTGCACTTCACTCTCCATTGATAAAAGCTTAGGACAATGTGCAAACATTTTTATACCCAACAGAAAGGCTGCCACACCAAAGAGAGCATGCTTAACTCCACCATCCTGCATGAAATTGTAACAAGACTTAAGAGGATGGCTGATTATAAAATGCACTAGTCAGTGCAACTTCTTCCCTGTCTTATTTAGTCATGTTGTAATTAATGGATTTCTGTAAGTTTACATGAACGTAAAAAGTATCTGGCCTCTTAAAAAAAGAAAACAACAAACAAGTCCTTACTATTTTATATATACACATTGTCCAGCTGCAGAAAATCCCACGGATCAGTGATACATGCTGTACTCATTTAGAGTGAATATTATAAAAAATAATATATTTACAAGGGGTCACATTATTTATTGCACTCTGCGTAGTTGTATGCATATCCCCTCCACTGGGACAAGTTGTGGCAAGTTGACTGGTCATTACTGCCATTTACAACCTTCCGATCTGCTGCAGGGGTAGAAAAGCTCAGTAAAACCATATTTGGGTTTTTGTCCCTGTAAATAAGATTGTATTCAGCTGTGGCTCCAGTCTGGTTTCTGTGAGCATCCACCAAGAAATAACTGATTCATATTACTATAATTTAAACAAAGGCCATGTCAGCATTATTCCTCATTTAACCAGTGGAGAAATATAGAATTGTTTCATTAACTTTTGCCCAGTTGCTGCTGCTTGACAGAGGAATGTTAAAACTACCCACCAGGTAGTTACGGAGAAAAAGTTGTAAGAGAAAGCAAAGAATGCAAAATTCTGAAATACGATTAATGAATAGATGGAACCAGGGGACATTGCTCTCCACTGCACTCTGAAGAGGAGGTGAAGGCAAGAATGTGAAAAGTAGGAGACAATCTAAATAAAAAGCAGTGAATTTTAAAAACTGGTCTGATTTTGCTTTTTCTAAAGGACTGTACATGTTATAATACACCACTGAACAAGGTAAAATACATGTTTCAAGAAAACCTACTAAAGATAGATACAGAGGAAAAAAACACATTCATTTCAGTGTGGAAAAGTATTATTCTCCTACCTTGTCTGCTAGGATGGCAAGTGTTCTTTCAAGGCCATTAGCTGATCTATCCTTGGCAGCTCTTGAGAGCCTTTCTGCATAGTAACTGACTTGCGTTTTCAAGGTGTTGATCTGTGCAATAATTTCCTTTGCTCTAACAATGTCCTGTGGGATGTATATTATTGACTGGGAACCTGTAGAAGTGCTGAAAAAGAAAGACCGATTTTAGGGGAAAATTTGGTCCAGAGGTACACACATTACTGTGGCATGCTGGGGAATTAATGGCAGACAACAACAATAATTTACCTAAGCTAGCAATCAACAGTGAAAGGCCAGTGGGCAATTGCACAGCAGGAACACGATCCTAGAGCCTTCTCTGCCTTTACTGAAAGCATTTAGGTGCAGATTTACTAATCCCTTATGCCAAGGGTCTGTGGGCAGATCTTGTATACCAGAGGGACAGTTTTGCTGAGAAGAATGTGTGCGATAGATTTTGCCATCAGATACAGAACCACTGCTGGCAGAGACAGCTTGCCCCACTCTCCCTCTCCTTACAACACAGACACTTCCCTGAGACCTGCTTTACAGGCCTGTTTTATCACATAGGTGCTAGCACCACGAAAAGAAAACCTCCGCTCCTAACACAGAAATGCCACCCAGATCCATAATGCAAACTCTGTGGAATTCACAAAAGATCCTTCTGCTAGTACATTATTTCCTCTGTGGCAGAGGTGATTCAAGTTACACCAGCAAAAGCAATCTTATATAAAAAACCAAAGTATACTCCAGGTTAATCCAAGGACTTAGTGTAGCTTCTGTTAGCACACACTTACTGTGCTAAAGTAGGGACATGATACAACTCTAGCATAAACTCACCTGTAACAGTATAAACTAATATCCAAATTTGGGCTTTTCCATATAGTAAGGAAAATAAACTATACCAATAAAACATAACTTTATACTGGAGTACTGAAGCTCCACTATGACTGCTTACTTGGCAGTGGCGGAGAATAATTTATTTTCTCTGAATTTAGTTGTCTACAGAAGTTACTCATCTAGTTCAAGACAGGTACTTGGACTCCCTCTGTAACGGCTGGGAGAGAGAATAGCACTTCTAAAGGGTGATTTAATCCTGTCTAAGAAGAGCCATTCACAAAAGCTGCCTTTTAGTTTAGAAGATTACTTTAAGCTGAGGTTGTGCTTCTAGTTAACTCTTGGGAACCAATCCGCTACTTCCCTTTGCCAAGCAATACGCTGTTTTATCCCTCCCAGTAGCAAAGCTATATATAAAGATCAGGCCTTTACATTGGCTTTGGCTGTGATGCCCATTCATGACACGGCATCAAGCATGAGGTGACACCAGTTGTATTGTATCTAGATTTTACTCAATTTTTTTTCCCAGTCATTAATGGCTTCAGTACAGTAACAGTGCAGAAGAAGCTGCTGTTTGCACCAATGCCAGGACTCTTTGATGGGCACAGCTACGCTGAGAGACTACACAGAGAGGAGTTACGTTTTCAGGCACAGTTACCTCAGGTCATGGCCATCAAGGAGTGTGAATTCCTTGGCTAGCCCTAGAGCAACACTGTTAACTTTTGCAGCATGTCTGTGAAGTAAGACACGAGGGTTGTGTGGAGCGTGCTTTCAAATCTTTGCCAGAAATACCAGTTCTTGTCCCTTAACTAATATTAAGGCAAGGGAGGAGCTTAATCCCAGTGTCTGTTCAAGCTCCATTACAAGAAAAGACAAAGGATTTGTTTTCAAAGGATATATATATAACAGAAGTGATTCTTGAAAGAGTTTCCTTTTTTGTGTCCCTCTGGTCACCTACTTAAGTGGGGCAGAGAACAACCACTCTCCAGTATTGCTACGCCATGCAGCAAATTAATCTCTGTATGTGATTTGTGCTTTCTGTTGCCCGGTGATCTTGGTGACAATTCCTCTGAGCAATTTGTTTCCACGACAGTGTGGTTAACATGCATAAAGACATATTTGGTAGGAAAGGCCATGCAGCATGTTGAGATCTATTTAGAATTATTACATTTTTAATCACAAACATTTGCTGGGATGATCAAGGGGAAAAATTTATGGTGTAAATTCACATATATTTACTTTCCAACCTGCAACTGCTTTTTCAAATGAACAGCTCTCATTGTACTGTATCAGCAAACTGAATTAAGGGTTCAACCTTCAAAATGAGTAATTTAGAGCAGAATGTCTGTGCTGTTGAACCATCAAGTAACCTTTCCTTTTCATAGCACGGAAAATCACAGTCCAAAGAAAAATAAACAAAAGTGAAGTGCAAATGTTTAAATGAAGACATGGGTTACAAAAATATTAACCATGTCCAATCTATCACCATATAGATTTAAAGATATGTGGAATTATCTTTATTATCTTCTACCTCTGGCAGAGAAGTGTCTCTGTCCAGAGAGTTTTCACTGGAAATAGCGGAAAAAATATAAAATACTTGTGTTCTGATCTTCAGTTTTCTGACTTCTCATGATCAGAGAGCCAGGAAGCTAGCTGTTCATTACAAACAAACATTGCAGATGAGATTAAATTCATTCACACATCATGTTCTATAAAGCAGCTACAATACTTAGAGCACAATTAGGGATGCCATGATGCATGACATTAAAAAGCCCTGCACACTTTAAAACACACCAGATCTTTGCCAAAGAAAAGAAAGAAAATTAAAAATAAACCAATCCGAAGAACAGAAACCCTCTCTACAGAACTCTCAGGAACAGAAAACTCACCAACACTCCTCATAACTGCTAAAAAAACAAAAAACCAAAATAAAATTAGCAGATTGTTAGCAAATACCAAAAGCAGAAAACAAAACAAAGGATGTTTGAGGAAATAACTTCTTTGAGCCATGTTTTTAACAAGGGGGGTATGTAACAATTAAACTTGTATGCAAAAAAATCACAGATTGCCAGATGCCCATATGTTGTTCTGGGGAAATGTTGTGGCTGCACCAAGCACAGTTTTGCCAATGAAAGGAGAAAGAATTGAATGATGTTGAAGTAACAGTGACACTGAGGTGATGGATTTCAGTTCTACTATACTGGCTTTTATGATAACATAAAAGTACTTAAAAGGAAAGTTATTATTTGAATGTTGAACCTGCAGTTTTTATTGATCCAGAAGGAATAGTTCCATAAAGCTTAGAGAAAAAGTACTGGGCAGAAATTAGGCTCACTGATCAGCTTAATTATTTGGTAAGTAGGCAAAAATAAAAAGGAAAAAAAAAAAAAGATGACGACATGGGAACTTAGATATTGCAGGAGTGAGGCCCACTTCAGTAGCTGAGTTGACAGAAGGTTATTTCAGAAAGCAACAGTGGTATCAAAAGAACAGGAAAGGTGAGCTTAGCATAACAGTGTTTCCAGGTTCACAGTTTCCTGTAGTCCTGTCCTAGTGCACTCTCAAAGTCAGGAATAATTACATCAGGCATATTTTGCATCAGTCTTTTTATCAGTACATATCTGACTGATGTTCACAGGATGCTGCTACTCGCTTCACTGCCAAAATTAATTCTGCAGTTGGCAGAGCCTGGTTCCCACGTCACTCCCTCTTCTCATCAGCTCCAAATCCTACAAATCCTTTCTTTGGAAGGGCATTATCAAGGTCTCCTTTTCCCTGACTACAATGACTCCTTGTCCTGATGCTCTCACTCTTACTTGAACTCTTGATAATGCAGCAAAAGTAATGATAGAATCATAGAATGTGTTTGACTAGAAGGGACCTATAAAGGTCATCTAGTTCAAGCTCCCCACAGTGAGCAGGGACAGCTTTAACCAGATCAGGTTGCTCAGAGCCCCATCAAGCCTGACCTTGAATGTCTGCAGGGATGGAGCCTCCACCACCTCTCTGGGCAACCTGCGCCAGTGTTTCACCACCCTCATTGTAAAAAACTTTTTTTCTAACATCTAATGCAGACCCAGGAAGCATTATCCCTTCTTTGGGTGCTGAAGTGAGTGCCATGCCAGTCTCTCCCCTTAGCATGTGTGACCTTCCCAATTTCTACCCCTTCCTCTAGCTCATATGGTAGCACATAAAGAGGTCACTAGGGAGTCCCTGAAGATAGGACTGTGGAGATCAAGTATCCCACCTGCAGAGCAGAGTGAGGCATCCTGATTTGTGCACAAAACTTGAGGCAAGGCAGAAAAGCCTCCAGCAATAGTCCCAGAACCAAACCCAAGTTGTCAATGAGGAATTTGCCTATCAGGCACAGCTGTTCTGTACTGAAGAGAGTTCAGCCACAGGACCTTGAAGCTATGAGATGGTTGAAAGTTTCCTGAAAATAATGGGTTGAAAGCATGATGTAGTACTGCTGAGGAGGTTCTACAGATAAATTTTCTAATCCACAATTAGGCAGAAATCAAATTCAACACTTAAATTCCTTAAAGTGAACGAAGAAGTATCCAGGGAAGTTAAAGATTTCACTAAAAGGACTCTTAGAATGAGCCCATCAATAAACAAACAAATACAGTAATATAAAGGGGAAACTGTTTTCCAACTCATTCTTTGGAAAAAAATACAAAATAATCTTCACATCATATAGTAGAACTATTGAATGAAGTGTAACAAAACCATAGAATGGAGTGATGTTCCACATCACTGAGCATGGACCAGGAGGAAAAGGCACAATCACAGTTAACACAATAACATTTCTACTTACTGTTTCTTTGCCTCTTCAAATTTATGCAGCTTTTTCCGCAAGCCACCTGATTTAAAGCCTTGACAATGAGCTGCTGGTGCTCCTATGGTGACTATGTCGTAGTTCTGATCTGGGATGGACAAAAAGGACTTACAAATGAAAGCTTGTCTTCTTTAATGTGGACAAACAACTGTGGAAATTCAAAAACTATGCTGAAAGTAATTTTTGTAAAACTTTGTGCCAGTGTTTTGATGGACATGGAAAACTGAATTGGTTTAGGGGCTCATGAAACTCATCAAGTACTTTTGAGGCGAAAGAACCATACTCAAACGCAAGTTCTCTGCTTCTCTAATGTAGAAGATCGACAGTGCGTAAGAAGCCTTCAACATTGGTCTTTGCACAAAACTTGCCGTTATCAGTATCCCTCACATGCATGCATGGGACAAGCATGTGTCCATGGTCAGTGGGAATTAGTGTTAAAAGAAGGGAAAAATTAGGTTATTTACGAAGAAACAAGCCTAATGTGAACAAACTGGTGTGATTTCACATAATCATGCATGATGGTCCCCAAGAAAAAGTGCACAAGCTTAACAACTAACAACAGTCAGAATCTTTGCTATTCTTCTACAGTTCAAAATGACTGAAAGGGACATAGTTAACTCCAGAAGCTAGTTTTCTGACCTGTAGAATTGCAGTAATTATACTTACACCTCTTCTTTTGCAGAGAGAGTTGGAATCTGAGGATAGAAGGTGCTACAAAAATTCCAAGTAGTGCTAGTACTAAAGAGCAGTAGTGTGTAGAAACTTGGCTATATGGTTGAGGACGGAAATCCATAAAAAAAAAAAAGTAACAGAATAATGTGAAGAAAGAGAGAAAGAAACAAATACCTGATCCTCCATCATCCTGGACTCTCATTCTCTGTATATGTAAATTCGTAGGAACAAATTCCAATTTTTTATCAGCTTTCAAGCTACTGGCTTTAAATGAAGGACCTGAGAAATGCAGGAGGAAAGTAAGTATAAAAACCCTCTGCTTCTGCTTATGCTAAAACATTCAAGGAGCTTCATTCATCATTTGCTACATGCTGAAAGTAAAGCAGAGAAAAGAAAATAAGATATATCTTTCTTCACTGTTCATAATTGTTCTCTACTTTAATGGTAAAACAGGAGAATGAATAAGAGAAGATATATATTCCCAGATTGTTAGCAAACTCACAATAAATGTTAATAAGGAAAACTAACAATAGTATTTTTTACTTATCAAACATTCTGAGTTCCCAATTTCAGAGAAGCACTAATTATCACCATTGAGTAGTACCACATTATTATGAAAATCACCTTTATACTGGTGCAGGTCAGTTAGATTTTCCTGATAAGTTAAAATAATTGTTTGGTACTGAGTAACTATTTGTCGACGAAGGCTTTCCCAACAAGGAGACAGTTCTCCCAGTTCTTCTAGTTCACAAACCCTGGGGAAAAAAAAAAAGAAGAGGGGAAAAAAAAAAGACAAGAAAGGTGTTCAGCTCCGTCACCCACTTGACCAAGAACAAGTTTCACATTGTGTCAATGTATTACCATCCTGAGCTGACACATTCTCAATTTACTCTGGTCTAATGTAGTCATCAGACTGGAAATGCTTCCAAACACAGGTCCCAAAGCACAGCTTTGCTCCAGCAGTCCGTAGGTTCATAGGTTCCTCACAGGCACAATATACTGTGCTCGCCCCCAAGGAGGCTCAGGTGCTGGTCATAACCAACGCTTCCCACCTTTCTGCAGGAGCTCTCAAACTATATGGTCACTTGCAAATGCTGGGCACTGTCATCAAGTCAGGAGATTTGGGAAAATAAGGACCCTTTTTAGGCCACTCCACTGAACTTTGGTGTCTCTCAAATCGGAAGTGTGACAGAGCTTAGGTGGGAAATTAGCACCTCTCTGGCATTAGCTACAAAGAGTATCACGGAATCATAGAATGTTAGGAGTTGGAAGGGACCTCAAAAGATCACCTAGTCCAAACCCTGCCAGAGCAGGATCACCTACAGTAGGTCACACAGGAACGTGTCCAGGCGGGTTTTGAATGTCTCCAGAGAAGGAGACTCCACAACCTCCCTGGGCAGCCTGTGCCAGTGCTCTGTCACCCTCACAGTGAAAAAGTTTTTCCTAATATTTTTGTGGAACCTCCTATGCTCCAGCTTCTAACTGTATCTGTGCCAGATATCTACACAACAGTTTAGAAGGCCAGGCAGGGAGGTTAAACACTAACAAGAGTCTGGGGAGACAAAAGATGAGCCAACAAACCCTTCAACCACAAGATTCCAGATTTTAGGCATTCAGGTTTCACCATAGGTGGAATAAAGGACAACTGGGTACCCTTAGATGTGAACAGAAAACGTCTGGCCTTCCCATTGCACCCCAATCGCTAGGTTATCAGTCACAATTCTGTTACACAGTGTTCCCCAAAAATGCTGCTGGGAAAATATTCAGCATATTTCACATTCTGCTTGTATTACTGTCTTCTTGGATTAAGATATTATTTGGAACAAACAAAGAAAGGAAAATGTAAACAAGTCAACACCAGACACTTCCACAGCATATTACCACAGAAAAGGCAGAACAATCATTGGCCAAAAGGATCCAGCAGTTCTTTTTGCAGTTCTCTCAACATCCCCAATCCATATTTTTAATCAAATGCCTGTATATAATTTAAGACAACATTTCACAGAACAATTCCCCCTCCGCATTTTTTAGGATATTATCAGAAGGAAGCAGATTTCCAAGAAAATCATCAGATTAATTTGCCAGTAGGCGACAGTGTAAACTATTATTTGTCAGTGACTTGGAAAAAAGACACTTGCAGTTTCCTCTTGTAAACTGCTTTTGCATCAAATGCTATTATGACTACCTTGTCAATCTCCTGGCTCAAAACTAACCATGCCTCCAAGCCCAGGTCATCCTGAAGTACATTCACAGCTTAACACTTCAAGTTTACTTGTTTGTCTCATAGGTCTAAGGGGATGTGCATGCCATAAATAATTAGGTAGTCAAAATATCCCCAGGTTAGACATTTCCTTTCAAAGAGCTCTGGCTTAGAAGAGGTTTATGTAAGATGTAACAGTTGTGATTTCCAAGGACATTTTAAAAGTCACCAGGATGTTAAGACGGAAGCAGCTGTGCTTGTGTGGCTGTCCGGCATTCCTCTGAGCTGCAGCACAGAGAACAGAGAAAAGAGCGCTTGGCCAAATCTGAGAGATCCTCTGGATGAAAAGTGTGACTGCATGTCACTGAGGGCCATCTCAACTGAACAGAGAAAAGGAAGTCTTTCTTGTTATTACACAAAAGTCATATTTACCTTTGAGCCATGCAATTCAGAGCATAGAAAGCTGAATTAGCAATCACCTGGGCTGTTATTAACCTGTAACTGTACATTATATTTATCCATTGATTGCTATATGATTGTAGTAAGAGCCTCTGAATGGTCACATTTCATGGCCAACACCTTAAGAAACTTCACTGTCCACAGCCTTACAGAAAGCCACATTTTCTTTACCTCATTCACTCTAAATTCTTCTCTTACTATCTTCAAGTCCTTAAACTACATCCATCAAAGCTTATGGGCAAGCTTGCCAGCTCTTTACATTACTATGACTGTAGCATATAATGAATAGGTGTTTTTAAATGTACAGTGTGGAAAGCTGTAGAGAAACAAAGACTTAAAATAAACGAGCAGCCCGTGTCCAAATGATAATGGCATATCTCAAGCCCTCTCCATCAAGGCTGTTGCAGGACAGTTAGGTAAGATACAGCATTCACTCTAGAGAGTCTAACCTTTTAAGTGCATGTCACTAAACTAAAACTCAACAGTAGAAAAAAAATAAATTAAAAATCAGTCTGAACCTCAGAAACTTAGTCATGTCATGCATTAGTTTTTTCCATATGTTACAAAAAGTTACTATCTTCCTGTGAAAATTTATCATTTTTGCAAAATATGAAAATACCTAAAAACAGTGGCTTCTGCCATGAGTAACACATGATTTGCTTTCACAATATCCCCAAGGAATTTAAATGTGTGAATACAGGATAATGATGGCAATAGATAGTTTTACTTTCAGTTAAGATCAGGCTTAGTTAGGTCTCTAGGAGTGGATTCAAATACAGACAAAATAAAAACCTAATGCTCAAAAATATAGCTAAAATTCTTTTCCCATCCCAATCTTGGCTTTAACAAAGGATACAAAACCCACTATGTTTGCAAACCATAGCCCACGAATATAGGGAAGTAAAACTCATAAATGAGTATGCTGTCTGGAAGAGAATTAATTGCTTCAAGAAGAAGCAAATTCAGAATAAACCTACCAAATGCTTAAAGATTTTCTTCTCCCTCCCACCTCCTAAAATGAGAAAAAGTCATTGGTGTTCTAGAGTGTCTCACTTTACCCGTTTCCATTCTGTTTCTCTTCCGTTCAAACCTATTCTTCTGACTCGCAAAGACATCTCTTAGGTCACTGAGTAGAGTCAGCGCTCCTGTCATCTATCTTTGTTTTGGTTTCATAGCACAGAAGGGAACTGACTTCTTCAGGGATCAACTTCAAAGTGGTTCATATTTTTCTTCTCTGCTACTCTAATTACTCATTCCACTCAAATGGTTTCTGTGTTTTCTCTACTCCCCTCTCAAAATCCACAGCAGGCGGAGTTATTACTCTTTCATTTATACTGTCTCATCTATCCAGACTTCCCCCCACCTATGAAACATAGAGTTATGCTTTATTTTTAATTCAATCTCATTTTCCTCTTTATATTAAAACTAAACTAAGTTTAAAATCAAAGTGTGCATATATTTATATATAAAAAAGATAATGTGACAGTCCTAAGAGAGTCTCACAACTGAGGCCATATTCTGTGGCCTTATCACTACTTTTGTGAGAGGAACAGGTAAGTCCAAAGCACAGCTAACTGCGGCACAATCCAGAGCGTTCACTGGGTCATCAACAGTCTCCCATCAGCACCTCTGTATGTTCCCACTGCCATATGATCAAGCCCAAACTCTATACTCTGCCATGAAATCTTATACCCTGTAACTGTATGGCCAGCAGCTTGCTGCTTGTATTATGTTTCTGCAGTGCCTCTATGCATTGACACAGATATATTCCTCGGTAACTCAGTAACAGCCGTTGCTGTTGTACAACTGCATGTGTAAACTGATGTGAACTCACCGGGCTGCGTCTTCTTCTAGAAGCAGCTTCACGAATTGCCTGGGGATGTGCAGAGACAGGATGCTCTCAGCCATCTGCTCCAAGATTCTCAAGTGGTTTCCATCAGTGGTTGGGAAGCGATACATTCGGCAAATGGCGCCACCAAATACTTATGGAATTAAAATCATTTAAGCACAGGGTTTGAGTTTAAATGTACAAAGACTCTCCTTTTTTAAAGTAAATGGCATCACTTCACTACCATGCTGTAACACACTGCTCTACAGATCTTGTTTAATCAGGCATCAGTCTAACTTTTCCAAGCATGGTCATTCCACAATGACCATTCTTCTAGCGTTTGCAGGAAAAGTCTCCAAATGATTTAAAACACCAGTAAGGAAATGAAATAGATATTCAACTTCTGAAATACTTTTTTTTTAACCCCCACACACTGTGCATTGTTCTCACATGTAATCATTTGCTGGAAAACTAACCCTTCTTCAAGAACTTTCTTTTTTAAAGCAACTGCTTTCCTCTGTTCCTCCCCTTCCCTCCCAATGATTGCTTAGGAATAGACTAGCAAATTGCATGGAAAATTTTATACTACGGTCAACTTAATGTCAAAAGTTTGCTTCTGCTGTTTTTACTGCACAACATATTGCAGATGACAAAATAATTTATTCTTGTATGACCCTCAAAGGCTGCTAAATCAGTAGCCTGTTCCTATTCAAATGAAACATCTGGTTAAGCACCCTGGGGCCACAGGCAGGCAGCAAGAGATTAGCTTTTACTGATGCCTAAAGCTTACTTGTTGCAACCCACAGCAACTTACTAGATTTCAGTAGTGCATCCTTCCGTAACGAAGCATATTTGGATCTGATTCCTAAAGATTCTGTCAAACTTTCATCAACTGGCAACACCATCTAAACAAAAACAAAACCCACAAATAGTAAAGAATAAAACCTCAGTTCCAGGGCAATATGCAGTGATGACCCTATTGCACCGACTTGAAAGGAATATTCAACACAACACGTGGTTAAAATAACTATTTCAAATATGTTTACTGTAGAAAAAATCTAAGCATTCTTATTTATTTCTACTGAACAGTTCAAAATGCTGTAAAAGGTTTCATCCAGCCCTTCAAGTACTTCATGTTAGCATAGCTCCAGAGTCCTTAAAAGTATTGCATCAGTATGTGGCAGCTACAGTTCTGGCTTGATATAAGGTGATACTAATCCATATCGTGACTGAGATGCACAAATATGAGTGCAGTTATCACCAAGATATTCAGAACATAAGGTTTACAGAATTAAATATAGGCTGAGAAAGGACTATAAATATATGTTATAAGACAAAATTTGTGGATAAAAAAATAAATAGAGTATTGAAGTGACATGTTCAGTTTTATTAATATCTTTTTAAGTTTCCCATTAAAATTCTGGAAATTCCCTGAGCATCCCCATTGCAGCTTTGCTTAATGCCATCTTCCAATTCACCAAGTGAACTAGATTACTATATCTTTGTGAAACTGGTTATCAATGCACCAAGGGCACCAATGTACAGCACCACATGCCTATTCTGATGAAGGGCATAAGCCCTTGAAGCTAAAGCTTAACTGTAAACTAAAATATTCCCCAGGACTTTTAACCCCAAGCATGAGCACCAAGAGCCCTACAAAACATACAACTGCTTCAGGGGATTAGGCTGTTCTTTACAGTATTTTGAAATTGTAAAGCACTACTAAACATCAAGATGGGCAGGAAAGCAGACAGCAGGTGTCGGCCTAGCTTATTTCAATGCTGGCAATAAATCCGCGCTTTTCTGAATTTTATACAATACTCACCCTTCCATTAACTGTATCAGGTGACCTTGTCACTGGAGGCCTTTGGTCAGTTTTTTCCTCCATTTGCCATCCAATAACTGTAATGTTACCTACACGGTCACTTTCAGCCGACCTGCAACAAACACTCTGCCTTGAGATTTTTTTGGAGGTGGACCTGTTTATCAACAAGGGAACACTTATAAAAGGCTATTAATCTTCAAACTTAATGAGCATTTCAAATAGGAAGCTTTTCAACTTCATTTTACATATTTTACAAAGTGTTATTCCAACAGGAAAATGCTCCCCTCGTTGTACAGAGCTCCTAACTCAAGGCAACCTAAAACCATGCATGGATTTCAATACTTCTATAAAACCAGAAAGAGTTCACATTTCACAATCAGCCTCCTGCAGGCAGAGGCAGCTTAAACTGTGAATATTAACATGTAGCAGATAATTTGACATAGTGTGTGCCTGTGCGTGTGAATGCTGGTAAGTTTTGATAATATGTGAACTAAAGAGAAGTAGCACATCCCAAATCTTCCGCTTAACAGAGAAGTCATTCAAAGCCACCAGTCAGAAAGCTGATAGCATCCTGTGCTTCTGCAGATACACTATTTAGATTGGGACAACTGGGGACCTGACATTCCAAAGAAAAGCTGATGCTAAAAAGGATTCTGAAATGAAGTGGTCTGGAAGAAGAAGGTGAAGATGCTCAACAGAGGAAAGATCCCTGAGGTGGAGGAAGATCTTGGAAATCAGGAAGTTGTGAGGCAACAAATGCCAGAGACACCCAGTGACCTGGACACTAACAGTCGAGGAGCTGCACAGCACAAAGTGACACCACTTTCTGTCCCACGTTCCCAGACCAGCAGCCATCTCCCTGCTGGGGAGGGAAGTTGACACCATATCAACAAGTGACTGAGGGAGGGAGTCAGAGAAAGAGAATCAAGTGGCGTAAAAGCTCTAATCCTCCTGGTCTTTAAACACACACCAGTACCCAGATCTACCACAGCTGTCATTTATTCTGTCTCACTCCTGAAACACAGCACTTTCGGCAGAGACTTTATGATGTTATTTTAAGATAGATTGTAAATGATATTTTAAGATTGTTGTTTACCACTAAGAAAAAAAAATAATCTCTGGAATAGGCAATACCGGAGAAGAAGAAGAAATAAGCACACAAGTAAGTATAAGAAAAGGCTTAGGTATCCAAATCATGCAGGATGTTTAAAGACATTTCTCAGCATCCAGCTTATACATCCAAGGGGTTACATGACAATGAGAAGACATACAAGTATTCATAAACATTGATAATGAGAATATACTCGATACCAAAACAAGAAAGTTTTAATAAAATCCATTTTCAACTTAGTAATAAGAGAATCATAGGTTGTGTTGAGTTGAAAGGGACTTTTAAAGATCATCTAGTCCAACCCCCTGCAGTGAGCAGGGACAGCTTTACCTAGATCAGGTTGCCCAGAGACCCATCAAGTCTGACCTTGAATGTCTGCAGGGATGGGGCCTCCTGGGCAACCTGTTCCAACAGAATAGCCATGTCTAAAACACAACCATGAAACTCCCACCATCATACTTCTCTTCTTTTCATCTTCCTCAAAACATCCTCATCTTCACACCTATGATAAATTAGACTATTTTACCCACTACCAATACCATACTTCCGGTGCCTTTTCTGTCTCGGCTCCCTCATCCGTTCTCTTCTGCTAAATCATGACAACTTTTCCTTCACAACACATTGCGGAAAAGCTGAACTATCTCTTCTCTTAGCGTGAAAGGCTTTGCTCATATTTTTTCAGTTGTTTCTGGGCTAAGAAATTTCTGCAAGGTCATCACAGTCACTGTCTCTAGTGCTGACTATGCTGATACCACCAACAGCTGACTTCCCCACACCTTCTCTGATAGGGATGCCTGTTGTACTTTCAACACATACTACTACAATGTGCATTTACATATCAGATTTCTCTTTCCTTAATTGCTCTTTGCTTTCTTCATTTTTCTCCAGTCTTCTACTTAACTTTGTCCCATACTGGCTTTCAAGAATGTGGTTTGATTCCTATGATTAGAGCTACTACCTTAAGGATTGCTATTAGACTCATACCATCTTTTTCATTCCTTCCTGGGTCACGTTCTTTCCACAAAAGTTTCCAGCATGAATTAAACTAGAAAGTTACATCAATCAATGTTGCTGTAATGTGACTCCTCCTATTCCTAGTCTATTATATTGATAAATATACAATTTAGGTGGGTGTTGAAATAGTAAATCAAGCCTAGGTTTACCTAAGTCAAGGTATTCCAAACTGCTAAGATAACGCTCTCTTTAAGTGGCTTTCATTCTCCCCATCACAGGCTCTTTTGCCACTCTCCACAGACACAAATGCCGAGGTGATAGGATGAAATGCACAAAAATGAAATTGATCTTGACAACACTTTCTTGACTTGTAGAACTAGAATCAATGTCTAACATTTTTCATCATGTTGGAAAGGTCTTGTTCTATATGTTTAATTATCACGCAACCTAAAATAGTTTTTCCTTAATAGTGGCCTGAAGCTACAAAAACCAACCAAACAGTTTTCATCATATCTTAAGGATGATTTCAAGAATTAATTCCTAAATGGAGGAGAATATTACAAACCTTAGTGTTAAGTGCAACCTGTGACTCTTCTCCTGAAGAAGTTCTTTTACAGTGAACATCCCAGAACCCAATAAATACATCTGAAAGAAGATGAGTAACGGAATTGTAATTATTTACTTTTACAATGAACAAAGGCTTTCTTCACAGCACAAAACTCCAAAATACAATTATTATGCACAAAAGTCTAAGAAAAAATATAATTACATATACATATACATATACATAATGAATTCATAGACTTTAAAATTTACTAAGTTTGGTAGTTTATCAAAAGTACTTTTTCTGCTGGAGTACAATAAGCATTTTTCTTTCTCCAGGATTTGAACGGAGGTACCCTAATATGTGCAAGCTTAGGCCTAGCAGTACAGGAACACTGAAAGCAATGACGAAATGAGGCTCAGACTGACAAGGTCAACACTTCATAGTGCTTCTCTGACCAAAACTTGCCTCTTCCTGAAGAACTTACCACCACCGGAGGTATTTCCTTTTCCTCAGAGCCTCCCCATGGAGCGCTGTACAGAGAGGGACAGCTCTGCTGCCCCTGAGGAAGCCATGGGAAAGCAGACATGTGGGGCCTGACACGGTATTCCAGGCAACGGTCTGAGAATAAACGGTCTGAGTTGCCCACAAATTCAAGTAGTTACATGGGATGGCTGGCACTTAAATTTACTTCAGTAAGGGAATAAATCTTAGCCCTGAACAAAATCACTAAGGCAACAGGGCAGGGTGATTTATGGAATTTAGCAGCTCTGTTCAGAAGGACTGTTTCATTACTGGGCCAACAGTCCCAACATTTTGGAACAGGCTAGAGGCATTGGATCCCATTCACTATCTACTGCAGTAAAAAGGCCTAGAGCGTAAGAGAATAAGCGACAGGACCTTCTAATTTAAATCAGTGGTTCCCAAGCTTGCTGCAGACAAGCTTATTTGAGAAAACTGGCAATGCTCCCTATTCGGCCAAGTCCATCTCACATTTTATTCCTCCTTCCCCTACCCATCTGGTTTTCCTTAGGATCAAACTTGCTACCCCTTTGCTTTCTTTCACAAAAGTTACTGATTTTATCTTCTTGCCTCTAATTTCCTTGCTCCACACTGACAGGCAACAAAAAAAGGAAAACTTACTGTTCCCTGAGATCTATCTTTGACATCATACACGGAGAGTTTGATTTGTGTCATTTGATTGATAAGAGAGTCTTGGAAAAAGGCAATGCTGCTTAGAAAGATAGGATTACTTGTTCCCTGTAATCATAAACAAAAAAGGCAAAAATTAATGCAAGGTGATATTCATTAGGAAGAAATGCTTCCTGTGTTAACTTTGAATTTAAATCTAATCCAGGAGTACCTCACCACTTACCTCAATAATTTCTGTCTGTGCATGCTTCGTCCAGAATGCCTGAGGTGGTGTAGTTACACTCACTGCTACAAAACTATTTGGTTTTCGATCTAGCGATGGAGTTAGCAGCTCACTGCAAGCTTTAGGTATGCAATAGATAAATAAATTTAGATTCAGGATCTTTTTCATATTGCTCTAAGACTCTACATTTTTATAGAAGCATATTATGCACCCTGAGCAATATAGCTGTGAAGGGCTAATAATAACCATTCTACTGCCACACTATAAAGACAGACATCACTCACCTTTGTGCACGTAAACAGTAGATGTGCAGTCAGATGGGTTTATCCCCAAGCTGTAAATCTGTAATTTAACTTGTTCTCCTTTAACACCTGCCTATCCGCCCCCCTTGGTATAGCTCACTAGAACAGCGTACATGCACAGGTTTTCCTCTGGGAATCTCATGAGCACGGCTGCATTTGATTTGAAGTCATGCTCCATTAATCCCATTACCAAATGGCATTTTGCCATGGAAGACAACTACCAAAAATTTCACTGAGTGACTCTACACAATTACATTAAACTTCAGAGCCAAATTGTATTTAGCCAGATACAGGCTACAACAGCATTGTCTGGCTCGGCTTCAGCCAGATGCAGAAAGTTAATTCTGAAATTTACCTGAGCAAGCAAAACATTTAAACATACACTAAAAAGTTTTGTTGTTCTAGATACTTTTAATTTATCTGAAAATATTTAAAGAATCTTATTAAGGTCTAAAGAGTTCTTGTTAAGATTATTATTCATAACAGAATTACACATATCTGAGAAATTTTTCTAATTTTTCATTTCAAACATAATGTTAAAAGCATAACCTTACAACTACTAACCACCTATTAAGCCAAGAAAATCATACTGCAGCTGAAAACATGAAATGAATTTCCATGAAGAAAATACTTTTTACTTGTTCTTCAAGTGAGGTGAGTCAGTGTACAAGCTTCTTGTTCAAATCTCACATAATCACTTGACAGTAAAGACTACGAGAAAGATGGTGTGTGTAATAGTCGGTAACTCTTAGAAAATATTCTGTCCTAAAATGGTGTTTCAGGCAAATCTTCACTTTGCTTGAAGGCTTGAACTGTTGACATACTGAGATTGAAGACAGTTTCATTGTATCTTCACATAAACAAAATAAACATTTAAAAAAATTTATGGGAGAGATGTTTTAATTACAGAATTTTAAAAACATGACAAAATCAAACTGCTGGCTGCTTATCAAAAGATACTGTACAGGCAGCAAGAAAACTGTACATATCTCCATAAAAATCAAAGCAAAGTTTCAATTCTTAGCATATGAAAGGCACTTCAAAATCAACAATTTAAGAACCACACGCATACTCAATACCATGCATCACTGAAATTAGCATAAAAATCACTAAGCCTACCTAAACTGAACTCTAAAATTGGCTCATCTGGGTCCTGAATGTTTCCTGTAAATCAGAAAAAATTAACACAAGATTAGCCAAACATTGCTGTCTTTTGAACCCTTTCCTGAATCTGCAGTCATACAGAGAAAGAAATTAAATTTTACAGAAAAAAATAGTATTTTTTATTCAATGATCCATGACTGGTATTTAAAATATTTATTAGCTAATCCTTGGTACCTAAAAAAGAACTGGAAAACCTGAGATGATAATTTTATAAAACATGTTAAAATATGTAAAACTATGCATGATTATATGGAATATGAGAATATAAAATGCCAAATCTCAGTAGAAAACAACAGGATTAATCAGATATGTCTCCTCTGGGATCAGTGAATAGGGAGAAGTTTGAAAGTACCTGTCTCTCTCACTAATCAAAGAAAGTCTCTGGGGGTTAAAATCCTAATTTACTCACCATGATAGATGATGGAGATAATTCTCAGCCCCCTGAACACTCTTGAAAATTTTATGCAATGTCAAACAAGGAGGTTGCCAAGACTCTTCCTAGACCTTGACATTCTTTTGTTGTCTTCTCCTGTTGCTTATTTTTGACTGACAAACATAACTGCACAAAATCTGGCTTAATTTCTCTCTTTTTTCTTCACTCTCCCTTTTTAATGTTTTGTCTATTTTAAAAATGGTGTGGTTAAGATTTTTTAATATTTTAGTATAATTCCTTTATCTCATTCCCTAGAGATAACCAGACACATCAGAATCTTCTAGCATATAAAAGAAAAACCAATGTTAGTACAAGGTAGATTTTAAAAGAAGCAAGAGAGCAAGAGCTGACACCAAGGTACCTACCTGTTAGAGAAAGGCCTAGCATATCAGAGGTGACATCAATTGTGGAGGCCCGTTGCACAGTGCGGGATTTTGCACCATGGCGGGGACTGTGTTCTCTTGCTGTCATTTTGTCATGAAGAACCCTTCTCCTCTGGCTGCTCGGCTTTGCTGATGTTTGTCTTACAGAGTAGCAGTGTGCAGCAGGTTGTCTCCAATTGCTATTCCTTTAACATTATCACGCTAAGCAATACAGAGAGCAAAAACATACGCCATAATTTAGCTACTGTTCTTTTTAACAACAGCAACCCTACTGCCAGAAAATTGCCTCAGGTCATTCAAATAAAACGCTCAAGGCAGATCCAATGCACAGTAACTTAATTCATATGAACCGTACATCTGTAGTATTTTACTGCAAATTGTTGAAGACTGTACCACGTGTAAGAAAGGCTCTTCTGTCAGAGAATGGGGGTTGAGACTCGTTAACAGACCAGCTGCTCTTCTCTTTTGTCTAAGTTATTAAACCATCCTTAATGAAGTTTCCTCGTTTTCATAATCCCTGGGGAGCACAAGTAAATTTGTCAGATGGGGCCTCTCTCTGCAGAGGTAGGACAAGGGATAAGGACAAAGGGACAATGTGTCGGCAGAACAAAAGGGCAGGAAATGTTGTTAATGTCTGCACACTGTGTTGTTCCAGCTCTACTGCCATGAGAAAGGGATATTGAAAACTATAAATAAAACCTACAGGGCTAGAGTGAGGCTGAAATTCTGGGATAGTGATGGAAAGAAAAAGCAAAAACGCTAGGCGTGCTGATGTGCCACATGGCAGCGTCTGCGCTTCTCCTTCACCCTACACTTTATCAATCTACAGACACCCATGGCAGTTGTTCTTCCCTTCACAATGCCTATAAAGCAAAATGTTACAGTAGGAAAGAAACACACAGCCTGCAGATAATTTGGTCATGTTGTTAAATGTGGTGCTTTTGGTTTGGGTGATAAATTTGAGTGCTCCTTTTGTCAGCCAAATTAGCACTGCAGCGGAACTTCTGTATCCATTTCATAATACTATGGCAAACTTCATTCATTTAGGAAGTGAGATTGGGAGTAAAATCTTATAAATCTGCAAGGTAATAAATAATACAGTGACTTAATACTTTCACAGCAGCCCCTCATTCATTTTACAAAACATTTGAACCATGCTGCATAATGGAAACATATGTTTCTTCCTTCTAGGTCAATGGACCTAAAAATGGGCAAGATGCATTCTAATTAAATAAAACATCTAGCTCTTATTTGTGTTTTAATTTGGCATTTTAAAACTGTCTGAAGGCCTCCAAAGGAACAATGAGCCTGCCCAACTTCCATCTCTGAATTTAACTAGTCAGCATCTCCCTCTGGAGGATTTCAAAAGAATTTCCCTGTCTCAAAACATCTTAACTAGCACTTGTTCACTGGACATCTGAAATTCAGATGCAAGTTAAGCATCTAAGACAACTCAGTTAAATACAAACCCTGCATGACCTTAGGAATAAGATTTTTAAATGCGGAACTCATTCTAGGGGGGAAGGAATTTAGGCCATGTCCATCAGATGAGCCAGTCTTTTGTCACTCAGAACGAATAATTTGCTTCGGGGTGCTTTAGCTCAGGTTTATACACTAGAATGTCATAAGCCAATTCCAAATAAGAAAAAAGGGAATTCTTGAGTGAAACAAGCAGAAATTGAGAGGTCTGGACATTCCATCCCCAAAAGCTTTGAAACTCAGTGACAGTATAACAAAACAACGTTCTGCTTACAGATAAAATTTATTATGTCTAAAAATTAGACAGTTTTTCAATTCATACAGAATCACAGAATAGTTGAGGTTGGAATGGATCTCTTGAGCTCACCCAATACAACCCTTCTGCTCAAAAGAAGGGTCACCACTAACAAGTTGCTCAGGACTGTGTCCAGTTGATTTTCGACAAGAAGGCACCTCTCTGGTCACAGAGGTTACGGTTGTTCCAAAATTTGATCACTCACAGCAAAAAGGCTTTTTTTATTATTATTTTTTTAATGTTTAAGTGGTTAGGTATTTTGTGAATCATGAGTCTTTCTCAAATAGTACTGAATATCCTAAGATTTGATCAAATAAAACTTTCACCAAAAATCATTGCTAGTTTGAAGTCTTCCCATTATCATAATTTTTTCCCTTTTTTCAGCAATTTATTTTCTTGAGTTTCTTCTTTATGTAATGTGACGTTTAATGGCTTTTAAGTCCAGTAAATCTAACTGCCTAATGAACGAGAACAACTGTAAAACGTACTTGCAGAGATTTAGACAGGATGCCATTGCGCCTTTCCCCAAATCCTGCAAACACCTTATTAGAGAACAACTAACATTTTCACATAAGTACAGGTCACACACCAGGTAGGTTATAGAGTCAAGTTTTTTTCAGCTAAAATCTCTGTAGCTGCTGACATCCTTAAAAAGGGTCAGCTCTTGAAAAGTCAAAACAGATTATTTTCTGTGTTTTGAAGCTATTTCTATTTAAATATTACTGAGCATAATAATTTTCCAAGGCTCTCTAAGTTCTCAACTGTTCATTTAAATTGCAATATAAATTTCTCACCTAATGGTGCATTTTAAATTTACTTACACTAATCATACTTACAGAGGGCTCTTCTCCTCATGTGTGGAGGGATTCTGCATATCATAACATCACTTAAGTCCACATCTAAAAAAATAACAAAACAATCAGCATACACAATCAATCCTTTTAAACAGTGTAAATCACAACCAACGGGCAGGTACCATTCTCACATTAACTACAAATTAACTTCTGATTACTAGCTCTCACATTAAAGTTTACTGAAAATAGAAAAGGCATATGATCCTCTGCTGGATCTCAACCAACACTAGTCATAGGAATAGCCAGTCAGAGCCAGAGCCCAAAGAAATAAGCTTATGCTGAAAAGGACCGACTGCAGGCCAGCATTTGGTGAGTGGGTAGAATAGCTGCAAGAAACGTATGTTATCATATTTACTGAAAGGCTGGGTGCTGTCAAGAAAAAGGAATGCATATATGCTGAGTATGAGATAGCATTTGTTACTACGCTTGTTTTCTACAGTTAAAAGTTCAAAATTTTGATCTTTGGAAGAGTTATAATGCCCCTGTGTCAAAATACAGAAGTTCAAAAGATCAGGATGTAGGGTTCTTTCTGCACTGGGTGAAATTACCATGTAAGGAGGGCTTCTATGAACAGCTAGCAAGAAGCCAACAGGAAAAGTGAATTATTTTTAAATATATTATAGGTTAACTAGTGGCTTCATTTGCATTAATAGGTTACACCTTTTAAGACCTGCCTTGTACACGATATTACAATAAAAGAGATGGTGAAGTCCAGCTGAGTTTTTGATTTTATCACCAGCCCTACCAACTACCCAGGACTGTTTAAGAACATAGGTATGAGCTCTTATCACTTATGGAATAGGTTTTATCTCAGCTAAACTGCACAGGAGGCAGGTATCTGATCGCAACTCACTGCCCAAGCTCTCTATATAGTCAATGGTGAGACACATGCACTTCCAGAGAATGAATCACCATTTTCCAAGGTAGGTGGGGTGAATCACCCCATGAAGATACCTCTTTTGCTCTCTCTAACTATAGAAAGAATTTAGATAGCTATCTTAGGCCTGATTCTGCAGCTGGGCAAACTAGATCCCTCCCACAGTTGTGCTAGCTCAGGCAGAGATGACTTGCCTCTATTCACTGCATAGCCTGACAGACCCAAACGGCAGGTGCTCTTATCACACTGTTTCAACAACTACAACTTTAAGGCCACATTTGTGATAAAAATCAATGAAGGCAGGATTCCTACCAGTTAAAAGGTAGTATTAACAGATCAGTTTCCTTAGATGGTACCACTTCTGCAGCCAGGAATCACAGAAGTTACGTCCAGAGAAATCTCATCCTGACAGTGGCATGATGAATCTACACATACGCTTCAGCTTTGCCCATATTAATACTGCAGACAGCGGACGTCGGTAATATGTGCGGCTTTGCACTTCATGAAGTTTTCCTTCAAGCCCAGTTTTTAACAGAAGTAAGAGAAGCTACTGTTAACCCCCAGTGCCAGTAAGGGTCATTTCCACTGTGCAGAAAAGGCTTCTGAACAAGCCTCTCTTCCATTCTATTAGCACAAAAGCACATGACCAGAAGAAAAGATCTTCACCAGATGCCAATTCTGGCCTGCTCCCTTCAGTCCTGGCAGCTGGCCAGGGAAAGAAAATGCCATTCTGCTCAGCTGCATAGCCTTGCATCCTGTGGGCTTGAAACTTTTGGACATTTGGTCTCGCTCTGATTGCAAGATCTCAAGCAAAAATGATGTTCATCTTGGCCCCAAAGTAATCCCTTGATGATTAGTCTGTACCACTACAAGCTAGTAGTCTCCTTATCTCCACAGTTGTTTCTGGGCAAAGTGCTGTGGTCTGTTCACTTCTTGAACAAAAATAATCTCCTACCAAACCACACCTTGAAATAAATATGTGTGAGGTGAGATCAAATCTTCTTTCACTCTAAAACCTACTTTTTTGACACTTATTATACAACTGTAAGAAACATGATTTTTCCAATTCACACATCAATGAGGAGAAAGAGGCTACTCTAACTATAGACTAAATCAAAATCTACTTTGAGACTGTACTTTTCTGCAGCCATAATGCTTTGGGCTTAAAGCATTTGACTGAGTAAAGAGGCATGCCAAAGTAGAAAATGCAACAGCAGTGGAAAGCTAGATGTTACTGCTACATCTACATGAAGAGAATAAAGGACAGCGTGACAGCTTGCTTAATGCTTAAAAAAAATAAATAACAGAGATGCAATGCTAGTAAAAGTTTATCATCATTTCCAAGAAGAAGTGAAAAAGTAGTTGTGGAGTACTTAACTGAACTGCAGTTAGTTTTACCACTCTCTGGACTTGCTGGACTGTAAGGTTCACTCTCTGAACCTCATAAACTAGGCTCTTGTTCCTGAACAATCCATTTTGAAACATCAAGAAGGCTCCTTCAGTCAAATTCGTTCTTCAGATAGCATCTTAGTAAAAAGTTCCGCAGATTGAAAATGTTTTAACAAGACACAGAACAGTGGAAATGAATACTGCCTGAAACGGTAAGCATTTTAGATGTGCAATGTGGCCAGTTTCCAACTAGCATCCTACTAACTGTATCACTATGGACAAAACAATGGAAATGATGAAATGTCAGATGTCGCTAAGTTATGACTGCTGCCTTCCAGGTAACAGCACCATCTCTAATATAACTAACATGCAAATGCTTTTTTAACCTCCGACCACAGAAGATCTCAGTAGTGACACAAGATTTGCCATGTTGGCTTAAGATTGTTTCAAAGAAGCTGCACGGAACTTTATTAAGCATGCTTCAGGGTCTGAGGTGAGGGTCTAGATCAACCCTACCATTCACAGCTGCAGAGGCAGCCCAAGAGCAGAACTTCATCTCAAAGACCACCACCTCCCAGCAAAAGCCTATTAAGACTGGCACTAATTAAGAGTTTGGGGTTTTTTTCACAGTCTCACAAGCACTTCACTCTTCTGTCTTATTTAATGAGAGACTGAATAGCCTGAATCTCACACAGATCATAACAGGAAAAGTCAGAACCATGATCTTGACACCTTGAGTCAGATTCTTCCTTCCAGCCAAACCCCTGGGGGCAGCTACACAGACTATGTCTACTGGAGATCCATAGGTCAACAAGAAAGTTTCACTCCACTCATTCCATGATCTAGGACATCTCCTTCACCATGTCACTTCGGAAGGCAAAAGAAAGCAAGTGGTACCAGAATCCAACACAGACCTTTGCCTCCCACTAAAACTACTTCCCCACCAAAAACATATGGAGCAGGTGGTAGTCTGTCAGCTGCACAAGACTCCTTAATTCCAGGTTCCCCTCATAAGCTGGTTCAATGTCACCCTCTTCCACTGACCAGAATCTTGATTACAAAGGACAGAAAAAAAAAATTTGCTGTGAAGAGTCTTTTTGTCATTCTCTGAGGCCCTTGTCATTCTCTGAGGAGAACTCTGAGCAAGTGGATAACCTCAGCAAAGCAGATTAAAGTCTTCCACAAGAAAATGAAATAAACTACCACAAGGTACAATCAACATATTTGTGCAGTGTGGAAATCCCCAAACACAACCTTTCAGTGATATTCTGATAAAAGGTCATTTTAGCAGCAGAGAGTATATTGCTTTCTCTTTGCTTTCCTGTTCACCCTCTCCCACTTACTTACAGACAAACGTGTAAGTCACAAACTTTCTTCTTCATCCTTCCTTGCTATGAACTTCAGAAAACTCAATTAGTCCAAAAACCTAATTTTATCTCTTTAATATGTTTTAGTACTTTTAATAGAAAACTGCAATTTAGGCCATTAAGTTCTTTGTGCAAATTAAGACTATTTGTCTATATTCACAACTGAAATACAATTAACATTCTTCTTAATGAAATTTTGTTTTAATTTCACTTATCATCACAACACTTCTATTTCTTCAGTACTCCTTCTATGAGAACCAAAATATGCACACCCACAGGTGGAAGCAAGCATTCGTAATGCACACATTTCATAACTAAAAAGGAAAAAATACAGTTCTCTCTTACTTAGTGGAACAGCTTTTATCAAGTTGAGCACAGCACAATGCCATGGAAAACAATGAGTGCTCTACAGAGCAGTTTGAAGTCCAGCCCTCTCAGCCTCCTCCGTAGTTTATCAACAGAAACTGAAACAGCTTACTAATGGTCTTCACCCTAAATTAATCACTATCCTCTTCACAAGAAACACAGTGGGTACATTGTGGTAAAGTTTCCTGTGCATAGCATGACTTCTCTCATCATGAACCAGGGTTCTCACACTACACCTCTACAGACATGGAAAAGCCCATGAGCACAGGAGACATATTTTCTGTTCAGTCTGGACTGAAAATACATTTCTGAATATGATAATCCTTTGGACACCCTCCTGAAGTCTGTCTCTTCTGAAGCAGTCCTTCATCATAATCATGATGCTCATTGGAAAAAAAAAAAAAAAGAGCTTAATCCCCTCTCTGAGTAACTCCTGCTGCAGGTAAGGATGGGGTGAGGGAACAAAGGCAAAAAAACCAAACCAAAACTCAACAATTCGTGACCTGAAACGGAGATGAACCAGCTACACTTTAACGTTTGCTAAAGATTTCATACTGCTATGGATTACAGATGGATGGCAGCAAAATAACCTCCAGCGTTAGACCCAGGCAACTACATGCCAGTCAGTCCCACCTCTGTGCATGGCAAGATCATGGAGCAGATCCTTCTGAAAGCTCTATGGCACATGGAAAATGTGGTTGATTGGTGGCAAGCAACATGGCTCCTCAAGGGAAAATTCTGCCTAACAAATCTAGTGGCTTTTTATGATGGAGCAACAAAATCAATTAACAAGGGAAGAGCAACTGATGTTATCTACCTGGACTTGTGCAAGGCCTTTGACACTGTTCCGCGTGACATCAAGGTCTCCAAGTTGGAAAGATATGGATTTTATAGATGGACTACTTGCTGGATAAAGAACTGGCTGGAAGATCAGACTCAAAGAGTTGATGTCAACAGCTCAATGTCCAAGTGGAGACCAGTGACAAGTGGATCTTGGGGAGAAGGATTTGGGCATGTTGGTGGATGATAAGATCAACATGAGCC